CTGACGGATGTTACGCACAGACGGGGTCCACTTGGATGTTTCTCATTACCAGAAGGCTGCGCTGACGCTCAGATGATCTCAACGCCGGCCCCTGGCAGCCAGCACGAGCATCTATTTGGAAGACGTTTTGAGACATTTCGTTCAGCCCAAGCTAAGAAAGGCCTGAAACGGGATACGAGGCAACTGCCAACAGATTCCAGTGTAAAGGGCACAGGCTGCTGCGCTTGGAAGCAGGCAGGGAAAAAGGCCTGCGCCTCCCCTGCCTGGGAGCACAGCCTGCGGGACAGCAGCGGCACCGCAGCGGGCAGGGCGTACACGTGGTGGGGCACACACACATAGTAGCACCTTTAAGGGGAAGCAAAGAAGGGCTTCGCTTCATAAAGTGGAGGTGAAGGAGCTCCCCACTCCACTCCTCCATGCGCACACGCGCTAGCAGAGCTGGCACCAAGCAGTGAAGGCAGCTTGTGCCGAGCCCCACGTGTAAGGGGGCTGCAGAGCCGCCTTCCCCCATGGGCAGCGGTGCTCACAGCGTGGCCTCATTCTCCCAAGCAGCCCAGCTCCTCACGCACCCACTGTGCTGCTTTCCTGCATGATTTACAGGGTGTTCCAAAGCAGCGGGCACTAAAACCAGGGTGTTTAAATGGCTGTGTTCACCCACTTTCTCTTAAGTGGAAATTCATCGTATTATCAGACTGTAGGCCCTTGCTTGTGGTGCAAAAGACAGGGACAGGGTGATCGATACTGCTGCATCCAACACACTCATGCACATATGGTTCAGCTTGTGGTTTATTACAATTAAAGTGTATTCACTGGGAGCCAGGATCAGGTACAGCAAGCGCCAGCATCCAGCAGCCGAAGGCACAAGGAACTAATCCACTTTGGTTTCTCAGCTGCTCACTCAAAACAAGGATGTTAATAGTCAAACACAGAAAAAATAATTGAAGCGCTTCTTTTTGGATGGTCTTTCACGTTAACTTGCTCGTAGGGACACTGCAGAAGAAATAAAACAAGTCATTACTGCATTACCTAGCAATCCGAATGAAAAAGCTCCAACTCTGCTCATGGTTAACAAGAATTGTTAATGATATATAAATCATTTGATCTAGTGTGCCCTCCAGACTAAAAGGAAAATAATGGCAACCCCAAGCAAATGGTCCTCATTAGCGTCCAAGAAACCACTTCCTAAATGTATCCTTCCAGCTCGTTTCAGCTCGACTGTCCAGAACAAGCTTTTGTTCTTAAACTTCCTTATTTTGTGCATAACTGCAAGAACGTGGAACATACCAAAGCTCCCAAACAGCCCCTCCAAGGGCACCGCGCGCAGTGGGAGCGGAAGGGAGGACCATGCGATTCTCGTCTCCCTATTTTGCCTGTAACTATTTCCTGATCATCTGAAACTTCTCCCCCAAGCTTTGCCTCCTGCCAACCTCCCTGAGCGGTGCCAGAGATTTCATCACAGAAGCCTCTGCTGGGCAGCAGTACAAACTGGGAAAAGAAAAAGCTAAGGACAGGCCCGGCACTGAGCTGTGCGTATCTGAACTACTCCTCTGGTGCTTGCGCTGCCCAGCGCGAGCTGCGGTCTCGTGCGTGAGGAATTGCAAGGACCAGGCTGCTGCATTACTGGGCCTTGGTCCCGCTTGCCCTGACAGCCACAAGCCTTGTGCCACTCTCTGCCGTGGAAGGACTCTGTCCTGGGTGCACTCACTGCTATTCCTCGCAAAGCAAGTAAGAGCGAGCGCCACAGCCCGTTGCTTAAAGTCACTCTGTGCTCTCCCGAATCCCACATCTCTTGACACTTCTCATTCCACCTAGGGAACATAATTCTTCCATTTTTAAGCGCAGCTCTGGAAAAGCAAATCGCCTGTGTGACAAAACCCACCTTGGTTTTACTGCCTCGTGTCTTTAGCGGAGGAGTGGCCCTGGCGGGTCCTTGCGGGCCCCCCGTGGGAGCAGCGCTGCTCAGCGGGGGCCCTTCCCGGGTCTGGCAGGTCCTTGGATCTCTCACACTCCTGGCAAGGGCAGCGCGAGCGACTGCGCAGGGTG